CATTGTCCGGGCAAGTGGACCAAGGGTCCCGACGCACTATCCAGATATCCAACAACAATTGCCGCGGCTCTCCAAGACATCCGGGAACAAGTCTCAGATTATGATATGATGCAATGCAGCAACGTCGAAGATGCTCCTCACATGGCCAGTGCTTGTGCCCTTCAGCAGATTGGTAGTGTTACGTTTGATCATATTGTTTCTGCTGCTCGATCAGATACTGAATATCAGACGTTACTAAAGTTCATTGCTCGCGGCTTTCCTGGGAAGCGCAACTTAGTGGAACCAGCATGTATGCGTAAGTACTGGGAAGTCCGCCATCGCCTCTCAACCTTCCAAGGTGTTGCCTTGTTAGATCAACGCCTGATCATTCCTGCGAAACTCAGAAACGTTGTCCTGAGCAATTTACACTCAGCAAACCAAGGCACGACAGGCATGAAATTCCGTGCATACCAGTGTGTGTATTGGCCAGGCATGGACAGAAGTATACAAATCCACCGTGAAACCTGTCAAGATTGTATTTGACATGCACCCTCCCATCATGCGGAACCTTTAGTGCTAACTCCAAGTCCATCCTACCCATTTCAACAAGTGTGTGCCGATTATTTTCAAATCGAGGGCCACTCGTATCTCGCGGTTGTCGATCGATTCAGCGGCTGGCTTTGCATTCAAAGCACACAAAGTCAATCATCGGACTCTCCAGCATATATTCCGCGACCTTTTTATCGCTTATGGTGTCTCTGAAGAACTGAGCACCGATGGTGGCCCACAGTTCACTGCTGAAGCTTTTCAGCAATTCCTGAAGTTATGGGGCGTCAATCATCGGCTTTCATCAGCATCCTACCCACAAAGTAATGGAAGAGCAGAAGTGGCTGTTAAGGCTGCTAAACGCATTATTCACAACAACCGCTCGTCAGATGGTGGACTTAACACCGATACGGCTGCTCGCGCCATACTCCAGTATCGTAACACTCCATTACCAGATATCGAGCTGAGCCCTGCCCAAATTTTGCTTCACCGTCAACTACGTGACAGTATTCCAGCCCATCCTGCTCACTATCAGCCCCATAAGGAGTGGGTCCTTACAGCCGAGGAGCGTGAAAAAGCACTCAGCAAGCGAAATCACATCTTGGTCAAGAACCATGATACTACAGCACGCAAGCTTCGGCCCCTTGTTCTTGGCACCAATGTGGTCGTGCAAGGGGAAACCAAGAGATGGGAGCATACTGGCAGAATCGTAGAAGTGTTACCCTATCGGCAGTATAGAATTAGAATGTTTCATTCTGGAAGAGTGATCCTCAGAAATAGGCGATTCCTTCGCGAATACACAACAATCCACCCAGAAGATATTCACCCCTTGTCCATAGAACCACCAGCGTCAGCTCCTGCACCATCTACTCCTGCTCTTGAGTCCGCACCTTCTACTCCTGCACCACCTACTCCTGCACCACCTACTCCTGCACCACCTACTCCTGCACCACCTACTCTCGCACCCTCTACTCCAGCATCACCTATTCTCATTCCCGAGTCAGAATGTTCCGTCCCCAGTAGTTCTAACCTACCAACACAGTCTCAGGGAATTGCACTAGGTGACAGTCAGCAAACAGCTGTCACACAAAAACTCCCAAGAGCTTTAAAGAACTTACAAAGCTTCAATAAGCAAGGACTTAAAGATCACTTCCCTCTAGGAGGAAGGAGATGAACAATACCTTAATATTTGCTATTATGTTTATAGTTGTTGTTGATTCACTTATAATATTATTACATGAAGTATAGGGGATTCAGATGCGTAATGGCGGACACCACATGCTTTAGTTTTTAGCTGTTCGTTTGTTTATCGAATAAAGCTTTGTTTGAATGAATCTTGTCGATTATTGATCTTAAATATATGGGTCTGCAATTTGCCAATCCTATATTTTTATCACCAGCTAATAAGTTTCCGAAAAGGTTCAATTCATTGTTTGAGCTGCGTATATTAGTCCAAAATTCTCTTAAAAACATGTATTTTCTAACCATTAAATTAATTTAAAAGGTGACACCAGAATGCAGGAAATGCTGTTTAAGAGGCCCAAATTTTAATTATTTCTGTGGACCTAGTAAAACCTGCCATCCAAAACGCTGGATCCGCCCCCGATTTCCCATTTCAAATGATTAAAGAGCAAAACCATATTCACTGGGTTTTTTTACATAAAGCAGACAAGTTCGCTCATCTATATTTTGGGAGAAGGACTGAAGATATGCCTATAACTTGAAAAGTATTGCACTAAATAAAAAATGTGAACACAGGGTTTTGCTCCTGGACTATTTTGGTTCAACATTGTGGCAAAGTTTGGAGGGAATTGGATGAAACGTGTGCGTTTTTCTTTACTTTTTTGGGGGATATATTTCAATCTCTTTTAAATACGATAATAGATTTGGTATGGTTTTTCCGCTCTCTGTTATCACCTCGAACTGTAATCAGATTAAAATTGTTAAAGTGTGTATTGGCATCATTATCAGTTGATCACAAACCATACATTTAAATTGGCCAAATGAAAATGCAGGAGAATATCTAGGTGTCAGCAGGGCAGTTTAAGGTGATAGCTTTTAAAAATGCATAAACACTCGAAACACCTGGTGTGTATTCCATATTTAGAACATAGAATGTGTAATAAGTATGTGGAATATTTTTACCAGCGAAACTCAAGTAAATTTGTCCCTCAGCAGCAATGTACAATGGGATCCAAGGATGCAATGTCACCTGATGCCAAGATTTGAGGATAGGTTGATTTCCTCACTTGTTCAGCAATGGAGTCGTCATCCTAAAAGTATTAATTTTCACATTAGTCTATACAAGTTCTAATGCCAATTGGTGTATTCTGATTGGCTATGCTACTTGTTATCTAATTGTCAATGAGATAGCTAGAATGACAAATCATCTCTTCATTGAGACAAATAAGCATTGATCACATGCATTATAATAGGATAAGAGATATGCCATCTCACCTTAACCACTACATGTAGCAATTAATCTTTTTCAAAAGGAGAACAGGGACGCCAGTGAGCAAGTGTCCCTTAACCCCTGGTACAGTCCAATTGCATTTTGCCATTGAAAAATCATATCGATACATTGTTCAAGAAAGAAAAAGTACTTCATTATAGTGTTACCTGTGTCAAATGGGTATTTGTCCAGGGCAGATAAGAGCCATCTCACCTTAACACGACATGTAGCAAATAATCAACTTAAAAAGGAGTACAGTATCTAACATGCAGGGAAGCGATTGAGCAAGTGTCACCTTAACTATATAATTAGTCACTTGTACAGTCCAATTGCATTTTGATACATTGTCATTTTAAGAAAGAAAAATTACCAAATTATAGTGTTACCTGTGTCAAATGGGTCATTTGTCCATGACAGATAAGAGATGTGCCATCTCACCTTAACACTATATGTGGCAATTATTCTACTTCGATCAAAATGATAATCTATCAGATGTTGCAATAAGAAATTAATTAAGTTTAGTTCATCTTTTGACATGGTTGAGAAATTATTTTTGGTAATTTTATAATGTGAACATTATATCATAATCAATACTTTCACTCTTAAATATTAACACTCGGGACTCTCCCTGAATTATCTCTGTCATTATATAAGATCCCCTTGGCAAATTAAATAAAAATTGTCTGGTGTTAGACAGAATAAAACAATAAAATAAGGTATATTTGGGAACATATTGCAGCTTAATGGTTAAAAATCAAATATAAAATTAGAGTTGGCAAAAAATATTCAAGAAAAAGCAGCTCCGGTCTAGCTGTGTAGTGTATACTGTATCTCATCTTACAGACTGTATTAATAAAACAAATTCCATTGTTCAGTAATCATTATATAATACCTTATTAAATTCTAATCGTTTAATTGGCTGTTTATGGTCACATGATATTGAATAGAAAATTCCATTTCCCAAGAGTGCAATGGAACACGTTCCATTGCACTCTCCGCGAGTGCAATGGAATAAAACGTATAGTACAATTGCACTCTTTGTGTTTTCGATAAATCGCATCCTTCAAAATGTTTCTCATACGAATCTATTAGTCTATTTTGGTATTATATAAAACAAATAATGAATGTTTCTTTGTGCAATGGTAAAAATATTTTCATTCGGTGAAAGATGGAATGTTCCATTCAACTCGGTTGTCACCTCGTTGAATGGAACATTCCATCTTTCACCTCATGAAAATATTTATTCTTACCATTGCACTCATAAACATTCATTATTTGTATAATATAAAAACAATTATCATTTGCCATTGAAATTTAATGAATAAAGTATTGTTGTCTGTGTTGTGCGTAATTTGAATAGAATGCAAAATTCTGCATTACTTTATGTATATGATATAGTTAAAGTGCCTATGACACGAAATTTCACCCCAAATGTTTATGATTGCATTGTAAAGATCACTTAAAATGACTTAATAATTTTTTTTATAGAATTTTGGTAACTTGCTTCCTTTGCAAGATATTCAACTTTGTTTCATATGCAAATTTCACCGGTGTGACATCACATCGCATAATGACATTTTGAAAATGCAATATTTTTTACCTTGATAAAATATGTTTACAAACAAATACAGAGGGTTAGTTACCAGGAAAAGAAAACTATACTTTTCTGAAAACTCATTATGTAATGTGATGTCACACTGGTGATATTTGCATATGAAACAAAGTTGAATATCTTGAAAAGGGAGCAAGTTACCAAAATTCTATAAAAGAAATTATTAAGCCATTTTAAGTGATCTTTACAATACAACCATAAACCTTTGGGGTAAAATTTTGTGTCATAGGCACTTTAAGGTTGGGCTTTGAACAGCCATTTTCCGATTTTCCAGCTCAGGTTCTAAAATACTTGTCTTTATAATTGAAATGAAAACAGTAAACGCAAGACAAATCAGACACACACACACAAGTTTTCGTAATTTAATTGAGACTGCAATGGCAATGAGAATAGCCTCGGCATCATCTCGGATTATTATAATAACTCACCTTATTCCTTTGATGTTTATCAGATCTTTGAAGTTACAGGCGAACTAGTTCTAACCACTTCGTCTACTTCTCTGTCAAAGCAGAATTCTTAGCAGTGATGCTGTGAGCCACACGTTTTGAACTGCATTGGCAGCCAGACCGTTGTCATTCAAATACCAACTGCAATCTTGCTCGCTTCTTCCTCACTCTGTTTTAAAGCCATCTTTATGGTTGAAATATGAATATACTAAAGCCATTTTAATCAGTTTGTATCGCTTTCATCGCACTAACACTTGGAAGCAATCTTAATAGAACCCTCGCACAGATATATTCACACAAATGACCACAAACTAATGCCGGTATCAATGTGCGAAGAAGGTATTAAATTTCACAGCGGGGCTATCCTCATTGGTTGACAGCTCGATCATGTGGCGCGTGAATATTCAAATATATCGTGTGTTATCTTCATATTGTGTTACTGCTATTGCATAACGTGTTATAATATTTGAAATGCGAAAAACATACTTGTGCAAAAAATGTTTCTCATAGTGATTCCTACAGTAGAGAAACAATTCGCCAAAACACAAGCATTTGATTGGCTTCGCTATTTTGTCATCCAAAACACAAGCATTTGATTGGCTTCACTATTTCCATTTCGCAACGGAGTAGAAACGAATTCAACTACCCAGCGAAGAGAAATATTTTGCAGAGAAACACTCCAAAATCATGTTGCGCATGTGTTCAAACTTTTCATGCAACTTTAGGTCTCTGGCAGGAATCGAACATGTGGCCCTGCAATTCCAGTGTAGTTATCTAACCAACTGAGCTTGACAACTGGCCTCTGTAGCTCAATTGGTTAGGATTTCAACATTTGTGTTTTTAAGAAATTATTCAAATAAATAGAAATGATTTTAGCTGAGAAAATCGAGGAAAACGTTTATGCAATCAGGAAAATTTTGAATATGTGAATACATATTTTTAAAATTTTCTTCATGAATTAATTTTCTACATGAATTATATTAATGAATTTCACTAGAATCAATATGTAACAGCTTAACATTTTGTTGATATATTTACAGTACTAAGCAAGTCCAATTGTTTACTTGACAAAGTACCTATATCGTTCCTCAGGGTCTTGAACAGATACCAGGATAAATCCAGACGATCTTCTTTCCTTCAATTTTGTTCTTAAAGGTGGTAAGATTTTTCTTCTTAACTTATCCTTTTCTTCTGGAGGTGGGTTTGGATCTTTGAGTGTTAAAGGTGTCTTGTCAGTTGTGTAAAGGAAAAATGTTGAGCCAGTGCCACAAATGCTTTCGAGGTCTTTTATTGCCTGGATTACCATGTGTGTGCATCGGGGATGCCTTCAGGTTTTCGGATATAAACAAGGTATAAGTTTGAAAAATAGAATTACATATTTCCATTGAGGGTTTTCATTTCTCTGCTCTGGTTGGAAATCGGTTATCAGTCCATTATCTACCAACAGTTGGTACTCTGAATGCCCATAACTAGTTGGTGGTAGTTTGGTATAGTCTAGTATGGCCATTCTGAAATTGCTCACCTCAGACAGGTCGGGCCAGGATGTGGTAGGTAGTATATGGACTATGCCTTCTTCAGTTAGATGGTTGTGAACCATTGGATTTAGGAATTGTACCTCGTCTGAATCGAAGAGCTGCAGATAAATATACACAAATTGTCCTGTACATGAAAAAAGAATTATAAGTATTATAAGTACAGAATTATAAGTTTGACTCAAAGCGCAGCAACTTGGAACGCAAACCAGAAGCAATACCGTCATCCGACTGTTCCAGGTTGGCTTCATAGCTGATCCACACAGACTTTATTGACTCAGCCCGAGCTGTCCATTGAGTTCTGGAGAGATTTCTTAGGTTCAGTGGATCGTCTACTTTCATGGATTGAATCGACTATTCTAGTGAAGACATGCGTTTTGTGCTACCCGTATAAAACACATTAAGTGCTTCCAAAACGTTGAAAAGTTCTGTGATAATTGGGCTTGCCTTGCAACTGTGTTCCATGACTGTGTTCGAACGATCTGCCAAACATGGGATGCATGGAAAAGTTTCCCGAGCTTGTCATGGAGCTTTTTTTGCACACAGTTGAACCTGCCCGACATTGATGGTGTGTAATCATAACTTTGGAAGCACAGTTCGTCCAGATTCAAACCTTGTTTAGTTAAGGATCCAATAATCTTGGTTGCTCCACCTTCCCCAGTCTTGTCCACAGCTTCAGTCACCGAAACCAAACGTTCTCTGGGCTGAACCATCTTATCCATGTAACTACAGGCAATAGCAAGCCGATCTTTGTGTGATACATCTGATGTCATATCTGCCATAACCGAGTACATACCTGCATCCTTGATTTCTTGGACGATGCACCGTTGAACTTCGTGACCAATGAGTTCAATGAATTTGTTTTGCGATTGAGCACTTAAATATGTGACATGATATGGGCGCATCCTCGACATGTTCAACCAGTGTCTAAGTTCTGGACAGTACTTTGCCACTAGTTGTACAATTTGCTTGAAATTTCCGTCATCGTCACCCATGACCCCGGAATGCAATTCCTTGACGTCCAAGGGTTTTGGTTACATCCAACAATATCTCAATTACTCTCCTGTTTTGCTGAACTTTTTCTTCTTGAATAAGGGCGGAACGCCTTGCTTTATCCAACAGGACATCTATGTGTCTGGAGGTTTTGGCGAAGTGAGCATAGGAAAGGATTGCACTATTGTGAGCCTGGGACGAAAAATGCTTTGTGAGTTTTCCTTGTTTCTTTGTACCACAACTTTTAAACTTGTGCCACGATTGATCACCTTCTTTGACCCATGCATTGTCTGCCTTTTCCGTGCCAGGACTATTACCAACCAAAGAGCGAACAAAACAGAAAGCAGTGTCCTTAGACAGGCTGTACTCAAGGTGAGGGTATTATTTAAACCATGCTGGATTGATGAATGCTTGTGACTTTCATTTGTAAGCCTGGTAGTACTTGGATATTGTTGCAGGATCGGTTGATGTGGTCCAACTCTGATAAGATACTTCTGTCAGGTTGGTCGATGGATGATAGCTTCAGGGGATGGCTTGAGGATTCTTTTACCTGCTTGGTGAATTCTTTTATTCTGATCAAGAAATATTCTTCATTGACATTTTCAGTGGATTCAATTTCATTGGCAATTTCTTCGCTTACACATAGTTGCGACTTAAGATATTGAAGGTGACCTGCACAGGATATCCACGTTTCCGATTCTGTTGATTCGTCCTGATCACTTTGAAGTTCCTCACTTTCTTTTTCTCCCATTTTCGGACATCTGGCAAAGTTTAACAATAAGAAATTACTATTATGGGTTAACTGCTATTGAACTCCTCTATATAGCTTAGGAAGCCTTTTTGATTAAAGCACATGCAACAAACCGCTACAAAATGTTAAATTACATTCTCTGTTCTTCAACTTCTTCATTGCCATGCAGTGTGTATTTTCATCTTCATGCTGCACGTCTTCTTGAACCGTACAAACAAGATTTTCACTGTTCACACTGATGGTAAGATGGGATGGGCCTTGGGTGTTCTGACTTTACTCTTCATTGTCTTCAGTTACATGATAGGTCCAGCTTTCAAAACACCAGTAACTGCAGATTCTGTAGACACCTAATGAACCAGGAATATGTGATTGTGTTACTAGGATGGATGCGAATAGCGAACAACTGCATTCCGTTTATTTATGGATATTTGCCATATCTTTTTAAACAGGTAATCATCACTCACCTTTTTACGTCTTTGTGAGAAGACGAATGGGTTCGCTGGCGCTCCAACAGTCTCCTACGCAATAGATGTTCCCACCTTTAGCAAATTTGCATGGTACTTTTTGTTATGTTGTTTTCGATAATCATCAATCGGAGTTTAGTTCTCTTTCGCTTACTTGGTTCTCGTTTGCTTGTGTTTCAGTTGGTTCTTTTCCATCGTTTGCTATGATGACTACTGGTGCAATGTAAAACTTACAACTCCTTTCCCTTCTACATATACCCAATATTCCAGCATTATTTGGAGGAACTATTAGTGGGAGCGCCAACCACAAGGTTATGCATCATAGTTAATTTGCATATTTTGCGCAATAGCAATCAGATTATCTCATTCTAGAAAACCACAAATTTCTAAAATAGGACGTAAATTATGGCACTCCTTACAAATTTGTCCGAAAATAATTTTTTTGTGGTTTAGGTTAGACGTCAAGTATTGTAGTGGGAGCTACTGTATACTGTTCCTAGTTTTACTGTACAAATATAGGTTGAAATATTTTGGTAATGACATACACTGATTGAATTTGGTTGAATTGAACTGCAGAGAGTTGAGAAATACAGTCCCATTACTCCCATACGTTTTATTAGTAAGACTAATAAAAATGCCAGAGAAGGGCGAGAACTCACAAAACTAATATTATGACAAGCTTCTGGGGAGGAGAGTGAAATTTGAGCGTAAGCATTTTCAACACGCCACGCTTGCTGAATCACGATTCATGATACATTTGACGGAGGCTATGCGTAGTCCAGTGTAGCTGACTCGGGCAGTAAACTGACGTAGATATAGGTTAAAATTAACTACTCCAGAAATATGACAGTTGAGTTCAACCTGTATCTATTAACTTGTGATCATTTTTGCTTGCATTAGTTGTACAGACAAGTAAAATGATAAAACTCCAGACTCTAGAGTGTTTGGTTATATACAGATATTATGTAAGTATCAATTATCCTCTGTGTCGTATCACTTAATTCAGGAAGAGAAACATTGTTTTTAATCAGATTAGGATTTGAGCTGAGTGGATCATATTACCGTATGGATGGGTGACTCTCATAATCTTGTCAGCAATCTTGCACATTTTCCCCAACTGACATTTCATTGGAATTTTCTTATTTTCTCAACATTTTATTGCCATTCTTATTGCTGTTTTTTTAATTATCTTGATATTTTTTGCCTTTAAACTGTTATTTTGAAATTTGTGCAAAAAAGCATTGTCTACATCGTATCCAAACATTAAATTTGCCGACAGAAGTCCACACGTTTTGCCAACAGACGTAACATTGAGGGGGTCAGGCACCCCTGGACACCCCAACCCCTTCTCTACAGCCCTGCTTAAAGAGTTCTTTCATTTAAGAAAATAAAAAAATTCGTGAAATATGCCTTTAACATGCACAATCATAAGAAAGGTGCCATTAAATGGTTTGGGGAGACAGAGGGGACTTTCCTTGTGGCATTCAGAGGAGATGGGTGCCCTTTTGGAAAAAATGAATCTGCATGCTCATTCCTTGTTAGTTTTTTAAATGTAGGGAAACAAGTTGCATCTTGCAGTGACAACTTTCTAGTATTTGGTGGTAACATTGAGGAGTCCTCTCATATTGTTAAGAAGTATGTGCAATCTGTATACAAACAGATTGCAGACTTGGAAGGAAAGATATTTGAAATTAATGGATTTCATGTAAAGAGCTACCCCAATGATCTGAAAATGTTGGCAATGCTAGGAGGTGAACTAAGTAATGCTTCCGCATATTTTTCTACCTTTGCTAATGCCAGCATTAAGGACTATACTGACTTGGAGGGTACACTTGGATATGATACCAAGTGCAAATGGAAGCCTTAGGATTTTGACGAAAGAGTCAAAGTTGCTAAAAAAGTTGAATTGTTTAAGACTACACTTGACAAAAAACCTATCGCACCAAAACAGAAACGAAGTAAAGTAACAGAGTTTATAGCTCGGCAGAAGAGCCATCAAGAGATTGACCCTTTAGTGGGTCAAAAAGTCAAATATTTTAGCAACTTGTAAAACATTTGAAGAAGTACTAAATGATAACTGTCTAAGATTTAGCTAAGATGGTGAAAAAATGGTTCGATGAGACTCCAGGTAAGCAAGCGGATCTGCAGTACCATTTTACAGGAAAGGAATCAATAATCTTTTGTCACAATTATGCAAAATTGTTGACATTTTTGAAATAGGATGCCGACAGTCAAAAACAAAGGCAGATAATACTCTTGCTTGCTTATGTAGGATTAAGACTGTTGCCCGATTATTAATAGATTTGAGATGAATAAATCAGATATCGAGAAACTTAATTTCTCTGCCAAAGAATACTTCAGAGGAAATACATTGTTTTGTCCCACCTCAGTAAATCCCACTGTTTGGACAATTGGGCATATTGTACCTTTGCATGCTAAGTAGGTGTTTCACAGTTATCATGGAAGGCTGTGAGACAAACACATAGCCTTAAAAAAGTTAAGTGCAAATACAAGCTATCAGAAATGGTGGTACAAAATATTCAGACATGGATTTATTATGTTGATTTGGTTGCCTGAAGAGCAGCACGAGCCATGTCATTATACACCCAGCAAGAATGTATACATTCCACAAAGGGTATTGATAGCTCATTCTGCTATTGTGGTTTATGTAGTGATCCCCTCATGAAACTCATTAGTGCCAGTGTGGAACAAGGGAAAATTGTTCAAGGGTTAGTTTAGTGGACAATTATTAGTGAGCTTAAGCAAGCCCATCAAATCGTGTTTGTTCTCCACGAGGTTCTCTGGGTAGTATCTCTAGAACTGAGAAACCATAATATATGGCTTACAGGTAGAACAAAAACTGTATATGATTTTGATGTAACCACCGTATTGAAATAAAATTTTTAATAAAATTTTTAATAATAATAATAATGATAATGATAATGGAAACTTTATTTATTTCATAATATACCATAAAACTATATTTACATTTGATAAACCTCGCTCATAAAGGTAGTTTATCGATGACTACTTGAAAAATATTTGGATTATATAAATTTACAAAAATAAGGAATATAATATCGTTCAAAATTTTAAAAGATCTGGGCTAGTCCAGTCTTTGTTTTGTTAACAGAATACACAATATGATGTGCGAATACAAGTGGCAATGATTTTCTTTTTAATGTATTTAATTTGTTGTTCATCGAACTTCAGTTCCTTGAGCATGTCAGTTAAGATGTTCGTCGATTGACCAAAAACACCCAGCAAGCTTATGGATACATTAACAAATTTTACCTTAACATAGTTACTTTCCTGATCTGAAATAAGCGGCAAGTATTTTTTATGTTTTCAATCTGAGTTAGAGTTAAGATTTGTTTCAAAGCCAACAGTCAATTCTAAAACATATAAAACTTTATTTTCAATTGCTAAGAGAAGGTCTGGACGTAACTGATCACCAGTGATAACTGACAGAGTAATAAAGCCAGGCAAATCTACGTCGAGTTTGGATCGCTCGGCACTCATAAGGCTGGATGCAATGAAGTTCAGGACTGAATTATGCCGCCATGTAAATCGCCCTTCATCTAGATATGCTTTACAACCAGAGATGACATGCAGGAGTAACTCAGGAGAGGAGCAAAAGGAACGATCAGCAGACAATGACAGACCCCATTTGACCAGGTTTTTCCGAGTAGGGAGGGAGTTGTTGATATAGTGGACAGTGAAATTAAATATATTCTTAGGAAGTCTGGATTGAACAGATGACCATAAGGAATTGAATGATGATGTGGAGTTTTTGATGATACTTGAGAAGAAAGAACCTTGTGAGATAAGGTGGTTTTGTAGTCTCTGTTCATT